GGTGGGGCAATTGTGCGTGAAATGGAATTATGTTGGCTTGACACGTCTAGCACATACTCGGGCAGATGTAAAGACCCTTGGAGCCAATAGTTTTCCCGCGACACTACGATAGAAGTTCGCCCGCGCCTCGATTCCCCCGAGACTGGGGGGGGGGGGGGGGTATCACATCTTCTGAACAACGCGTTCGGCGATGCATTCCAAATGCTTTCACACGAAAGACAAGCGTTCACTAATAGCCGGTCTGGTCCGAGTCAGTGGCGGACTTCCAACAATTCCTTTGGTGGAATTCTGTCCTGAAATGGGGTAACCACTTGGTCTGTCAGGGTAATACTCATTTTATTGACCTCGAAAGTATGGTGATGGGCTTGGTCAACTCGCTACTGGGATTCGAAGTCATGCACCTCCAAATATGAGCCATGAGGTGTAATCACAGCGATGTATTTGATTGAGCTATATAATATATTATTTATATGCAACCATATGTAAACAAATATCCCTAATTAATTCAGACGACTGTGATGATGTTCAATCCGTATGCTATGATGTATTAATTGAGAAACAAAGTTCAATATCTCTTAATATATCTTTATTCGAAAAATGACCAATCGTGGCTATTTTTTTATGAAATGCGTTTTCCTGCAGAGGGTTTTGTGACTCCAGCTCCAATAGGGTCCATGGAATAACAATTACAAACAAAAGCCAGCCATGTGACTCAACAGGAGAGCAAGCGACTCACATTCAGATTGTTGCGAGTTCTGTTTGGGAGTGGGAGTCAGACTCAGTGGAACTCACCCCATCATCCTTCTGGGGACGATAAAATACATTCCACTTTGAGGGGAGCAGGGGAAAACAACAGTGCTTGTCCTATGGAGAGACTCACCCTTGCCATAGGAATGTAGAATTGACAGCACTGAACTCGGGGCTGTAATAAACCAGGGAGATGACCACCAATGCTTCAATGCTCACCGGAGCAGGGAATTGCTTCGTCTCGTCTCGATGGCACTCCCAGCCCAAACTTCTTTCGATTGGCGGTGCCAAAAACGGCGGACTCTTGACGGCACGTCACCTCTAAATGTGCACGCAAAGTCACGGCAAAGCGAGTCGTGCTGCTGCTGCTGCTGTTGCGCGTCTCTTCGTGATGAACTGCGTCACCGCGCCCGGCCCCCGAGATAATACAGCGGGGCGCGCGTGGCTCGTGGCTCGGTGAGTGATGCACGGCCGCGAGAATGTTAATTAGCGACTTTGTCACCTTCAGTGGCGGCGTTCGAACGGGAGAGGGGGCGGCGAGGGGGAAGGGGGGACATTCCGATGCGTGGAATGCGCCGCTTCCGTGCACAACAGCGCTCGTTGTCACTTCAGGGTTCAGAGTAACAAAGCACCACGCAGGCATCATGGATGAATGTGTTTATGTTTTTAACCCGGTGATGACATCCAGTTGGTTCAGCAATCTCTCAGTCGTGTTTCGACCACCCCCAAAGGAAGTGTTAGTCACGGCAGTTGTTTGACCATACTTCACCACGTCGGTCAGTGTGGGTTGGTGAGAAGAGAGAGAAGGGGGGGGGGGTCAGACCAGTTTAGATGTCACTCGCCACTGTTGTTAGCCACTGATGGGTATCGAACTCTGGTGTCTCATCATCATCATAAGTTACGATCGATCCACTGCTGGATGAAGGCCTGCGCATGCCGCTGCCACCAACGTCGCACGATCTTTCGATGTAACAATCCATCGAGCAGTACGCGTTCTGTCCCTCGACTGCCGCTCCGTCATTGTGTTTGGCCATCGACCATCGTCCCCTTGTGGCCGTGACGCGTCCTGCCCAAGCCCATTAACCTGCGCGTGCTATCCATGCGCGTATTCCTCTCTGTCTCTCGGTGTAATCATCGCACAGTGTTCTACACAACCACTGCGTGGACCCCTTTCACAATTCAATACACTGTCGAGATTCGGAGGCGTGGTGGTGGTTGAGGGGGGTGCAATTCGATTCAGGAATCAATTATTTTAAATACGTTGTGGTGAGTTTAGCAGCCACGAGTGGCTGGAAGCAACACTCACGTGCAATATGTATGGATACACATACATCGAAATCATAATCTTCATTTATACCGGAGGAATCCGATGAGCTATTAAGCTCTTTTTCACAGATGTCCTGTAGGGGCGGGTTAGCACGTGATGAGAACCACTCCGAAAACACGACAAGAGTGCAGACTTTAGGGAAGGTAACAAAGCACTTTAAAAATATACAAATAAACTAAACAACATTTTTTTCAGGTAAAGTCCACTGAGCTACAGTTACTATTTAGAAGCGTCCTGGCCACAAATCATAGCTCAACGAAGTGTCTTAACAATGTGGAAATGTATAGCAGCCAAATCCAAAGCATCTAAATAATCTAAATAAATAAAACGCACGTGACGACTTAATACAATTCGTTCCACTCGAAGCATTACCGCAATGCAGTAACGTCGTAAGCAAACAGTAGTGCACAGTGCGGTCAAACTATACTTATATTTTAAATATGGGGCACTCACCTGAGTAGGCTGCGTAATGTCCTCTTATTATTTAATAAGCAATAACTACCATTGATGCGGGCTGCTGCCGTGCGGTCACGTGCGGCGGAGATGAGCAGTAATTGTGCTACGAGTCCTCCTGCCCCTGCAAACACTCCGCCGATAGAGGTTTGATTTATAGCCATAATTACTTTTCTGCTATTACGCCCCACTTTTACCGGTTCGTGTGGAAATATCAACCCACTGTTTTCAATGATGTGTGGTATATATTTATTTGTGTTTATACAGCCAGGCCTTTTAATTGATATCATATAACAAAGAGTTATTCACTCAATGGGATGGCGCTGCCACAGCGGTGTAATGGTTTGCGCGTTGGACTTGCATCCCCAGAAGTGTCACCGGCTCGACTCCATGTCCCGGCGCACCCACCCAGCCAATGCCGGGTTATCCCAGCAGCAAAAGTAGCTACACATATGTAGTAGCTACACACATGTAGTAGCTACACACATGTAGTAGCTACACACATGTAGTAGCTACACACATGTAGTAGCTACACACATGTAGTAGCTACACACATGTAGTAGCTACACACATGTAGTAGCTACACACATGTAGTAGCTACACACATGTAGTAGCTACACACATGTAGTAGCTACACACATGTAGTAGCTACACACATGTAGTAGCTACACACATGTAGCTACGGGCCCCGCACTTTCAAGGGCCCCGCGCTAAATGTTTTCAAGCTATCAATTCCGTTTCAGTGATTCTGCACTTGCTATATTACTATAGGACTATACTACCTTCAACTTTTATGAACGACTGGGTGTTTAAGGTTATCCATTTGCATTTTCTGGCTGGATAGCAAATGAAAAAATTAAATTGCTTTACTATGCAAGTTTAAAATTTGTGTTTTACTATTTAAGTATATTTCTTTATTTAGGGCTCCTTTATAACATCTGCTACAGGCCTCGCACGAGGTTTATCCGGCACTGCACCCAGCAGTATAAATTGGTGCACCACACTTCAGTCGGTCTGCAGATCGCGCGCGCTGGGGTAAAGTGTGGGTACTGCCTCATGTTGAGAGACGTGTGCCCAACATGGAGGGAGTTTGGCCAATGCCCGTACAAGGGGCTCTGTTGAGCTCCCTCTGGGGGTGGACTTTCTGCCAGCGGTGGTGTGAACAATAATATTGCAGGGCTGCGCCTTTATCCTGCACCTTTTGCGTTATTTAGGATGAATATCGATGCACGGGTGCCTCCCGCTAAGGAGGGGAGGGCCAACGGGGTTGGAATGCGATCGCATCTCCAATTAGCACGGTTGACAATGTATAGTGCGAAAGAAGTTCATACAATGCGCGTAGCGGTGGTGTCACTCGGGCATTGGTGCTCGACTAACTTTGCGCCTATTTTAAGAGCCGATGCGATCTTCAACGTTAGCAGTGTCAACAACGGCAGCGGCGCGGCGCACCTAGCGGGGAATTCAAATTCGGGCCGCCTCGGCACGATGCTGCGTCCTCGACAAAAATGATTCATGCCAGCTTTTGGCTCATTTATCAAAAAAAATCACATTACGTCCAAAAACAAGAGGAATATTCGCACACTCTCAGCTTATAAATAATGCATTGGCTCTGAGTGATGGCCACACCTGGCTGAGAGGAGCGCGAGGTTCGGGATGTCCCTCTGTGAATACTTTCCCAAGTGATGGACAGGTCTCTGCGTGGCAGCCAGAAAACTATGTTGGTTCTGCGATATTCAATTATTATTTCAACCTTCCTTTTTTAATGATTGCTTGAAATACAATAAATATTCACAGTGATGTTTGTAATTTAGCTAAAATGTATGGAAATGCAATTACATTTTAAATAAGAAGCCCTTATTGTTTCAGACGATTGCTCTGATTCTATTTGCTGTCATGAATCCATTCAAGAACAAATATTATTCAATATCTGGTGATTACATTTTGATGATTGTACTGTATTTCCTTTATGTTATTATAAGATAGAAAATTATGAGTTTTTTTAATGAAATGCATGTTCCTGCATAGGAGATGCTAACTCCAGCTCCTTTGGGTTACATGGAATAACAAATAAACAAAAAACAATGAGAGGCCAGGCAGCTCAATCGTGGAGCTAGGGGCTTGCAAGCGGATGGTTACCGGTTTAAATCATCCCGTTGTGGGGTGAGACTCGTCCCGTCAGCACTCCCGGGTGGGTACCACATGTCAGCAGTGGCTGGCCTGTGCATAGACTCGCCCCCTGCCATAGCAATGTGGATTTTTATTTAATTTTACCAGGTAAGACCCACTGAGCTATATAGATATTTCCAGAGGCGACCTGGCCACAAATCATAGCTGAACGTAGTGGCTTGTGTGGAAATGTATAGCAGCCAAATACACTAAACGCGTGACGTTGATTCTAAATTTGGAGGGAAAACCCGGAGGACCACCGAGAAAAATCCACGCGACCACGGGGAGAACATTGAAACTCCACAAATTATAGCAGGCGTCAGGGTCAGGCTCGAACCCCCGACCTCCCTGTATACCAGGCGAGGGGGATAACACCTCGCCACCGCGACGCCCCACCAGCTTGGCTGTGCAGGGCTGTAAACGGAAGATGAATGCTGATTTGAGCACGAATTCACTTAAATTAAATAACGAACAAATATGTCATGCTTGAACAAGTAAGCAGATAAAAAACAGCAAGTGCCATTTTTTTAAATAATAAAAATGCTAGAAAAAAGAATAATCCGAGAGAGATGTGTCGACAGCATCGACCCCCCCGACCCCCCACACTCCTTCAGTGACGTCACGTTGTAAAGAGGCGGCCTCTCGGCACGGCGAGACCAGAAGGGATCGCGGGAGTGGTGGGGGAGCGCTGGGCGGGCGTGACGCTGGGAGCGAGCGGGCATCGCCAGCGCTGACGCCGACGCCGCAGCAGCAGCAGCGCACGCCGTTCGGGAGCTGTGCAGCAGATTCGGACGCCCGTCTTGTCTCAGCCATGGCTGTCATTCCGCTGGCATCTTCCGTCTTCGGTAAGAAGGAGGTATCTCTGTGTGAGTGTGTTTGGGTGGCTGTCGTGTGGGTGCACACTTTTATCTTTTAATTTTTGCTGATGTTCCGAGTGCAACATTGTGGAGCTTGCTGTGGGTGTAATTTTTTTCCAGGAGGTCTCGGTGTCGTGTGTGTGGAGATGCTGCTCGCTAACGGAACATGCCCCAAGAGTCTATTTAAAGCTATACGGGGAATATTTGTCTATTCGCGTGTGTGGAGTAGTCGTGTAGTGGTTAGCGCGCTGCGCTCTCCAAACCCGGTGACTCGAGTTCGATTCGCGCTCACGGCCCACATCAGTGACGATTATCTGAACCAATTCTGGACCTCCTCTAGCTCGACTCGGCCAAAAATTAGTACCTCGTGCGCTGCATAAACTTCAACATTGGGGAGACAATGCGGCCACCCACCTCCTCGAGTGCCGTCCCGGTCTGCAGAGGTGCTCGCTAAGAGCACTTGCCCCAACAGTCTGTTAACGCTATCGGGGAGCCTTGCGTCTGTGTTGTGCGCGCCAGTGTTTTTCATGCGGCCTAATAATAGTAAAGGTTTTTGGGTTAGATCGCCTTATTATAAATGTGTCGCAACCCTGGAAAATCGCCCGAAGATGCTGGATGTAATTACCAGCGAAACGTCGTACTACTCATTCTAAATATTGTGGATTCGCTCTTCAAACACAACGGTGGGCTGAAGAAGTTACTAATTGGCATTTTATTAACGTTACACATTTTTTTACTGATTGGCCGTGTCGGGTGGTGGAGGGTGGCGACACATCTATAATAACGCGATCTAAGCCAAAAACCTTTATTATGAACGGTCTAACAATGGCATTTGGTCTAATTGAGTGTATGTATAATGAATACATTGAAATTGAATGTGTGTAGAATGAATTCTAATTAGTCTGTATAATTAATTAATTCTAATTGAATGTGTGTAGAATGAATTCATTTTAATTGCGTGTGTGTTTAATGAATGAATTATAATTGAATGTGTATAATGAATGCATTCTAATTGAGTGTATAATGAATTAATTCTAATTTAATGTATAATGAATTAATTATACTGAATGTTTGTATAATGAATGAATTCTAATTGAGTCTATATAATGAATGAATGAATTATAATTGAGTCTGTGTTTAATGAATGAATGTGCACGACTACAAGTGTTTAATGTGTGCAGTTTTAATACATATTTGATGCACATCAAGCACGTGCTATCCTGCATAGCTTGTAAATGTGTGTGCGTTTAATATTGGAACCGGTCCGGGGCCTCTTCTAGATCTACTTGGTCTGAAATGAGTAACCTGGTTGCCCTGTGTAAACATTAGTACTGGGGAGACAAAGGCGGTCGGGCGTGGTGTTGACCACCCACCTCCTCGTGGGCCGTGCCGGCCTCTGAGCTCTTTCCCCGACAGTCGATTACCGGCTGTACGGGGGATTTGTGGAATGCATTGGCAAGACTCATTTACGGAGGTGTGAAGGGAATTCTATTGCAGTTCGCTCCCTCCTCGGTGATGAGATTTGTGCCGGGACATGTGTTGCGCAACACTCGCTCGAGTCTGCGCGGTCGCCCAGAGGAACTGGATGGCAAGTGACAAACTTAGCCCAGCGAAACACACCGTCGGCAAAATTTGTGTCTATGTTGAACTTCTTTCGCACCGTCCATAGCCAACCGGCAATAAGTAGTCAGTCATAGATTCAAGCGGTATACAGTATTCCTACTCAGAGCCAGTGGTGGAGAGCCAGTGGTGAGAATTCCACATTCCTATGGCAGGGGGGAAATCGTTACATAGAACAACCAACGCTGGGCCTTCACCGTAAAGTAGTACTCGTTTTAGCGACCCGGGAAGGATGCGAAGGCAGAATCGCTCCCGCTCGCTCTAGCGCAAAGTGCATCGATCGGGACCACAATATGTATTTAATACTCCGAAGATTTAATTCTGGCTCATGCTATGGTGTAATGATTTACTGCTCGTGCAATTTACGCCGATATAATTAATAGAAGAAAAACACCTGCCCCCAGATGCTCTGCGTGCGTTGAAGGCTCCTCCCAGTCCCGGGGGAGTAACGAGGGGATGATCCCGAGTGGCAGCGCACGGACAGCGACGCTCACGCGAGCGAGAGCAGTCGACTCCCGGTGAAGCGAAGCCTCCTCCCGCCGACAGTGGCACAAGCTCAGCACGGACCACCACCTCCGTTTGGGTGTGACGGTGGCGAGATGTTAATTACCTCGCCTGGTATACAGGAGATCGTGGGTTCCATCCCCACCCTGTATATTTGGAGTTTGAGTGTTTTTCTCTCCGTGGTCACGTGGATTTTTCTCCGGGTCCTCCGGTTTTTTCCCCTCCACATTGAGAATCGACATCACGCTTTAGGGTATTTGGCTGCTATAAATTCCCACGTGATAAGCCACTTCGTTGAGTTATCATTTGTGGCCAGGTCGCTTATGAAAAAGAGTAATACAGCTCAGTGTGCCTTACCTGCTAAAATAGAATAACACAAAAGCTGCGGCTGGATATGCGGAGACAGTGGCTTTGGGGAGTGGCGGTGCATGGGTTAGCACAGCGTGCGCAAAACCAACCTGGCCACCTGGGGTCCACTCGGGGCTTCGGCTAACACAAGTGGTGATTATCTGTACCGGTTCTGGGTCTCCCCCGAAGGTTGACGTAGCCTTAAGTGAGTTCCTTGTTGCAGTGCGTCAACATCGCCACTGGTGGAACAAAAGCGGCCCGCCGTGGGGCTGGCCGTTGCGTGATGTGATGGTTTTCATAGGTGCTTCGCTATCAGCACTTGCCCCAAAAAGCTATATGGGGCGTATTGCCTTTGTTTGTAGGTTTCAAACTCCGTCCCTCCTGTTGCATATTCCCAACTAATTTCAGTTCCTTTGCAAGTATGTCACTCGCAGTTGGCTTTCAGTCTTACAACGCTCATAGTATTATGATTCTGGTATGTTGATGAAAAAAAATTGTATTTTAAATCGTCATGTGTTGCCTATAATCGGTGCTTACGGAATGTGCCGAGCACATCAAATCTTGGGAGCTAAGCAGGGTAGGGCCTGAATAGTGCTTGGATCGGCGAGTTCCACCATGGGACCACCAGGTTGTTGTTATTGTTTGTTGTTGTTGTCGTTATCGGCTTCTGCGTTCTGGGCTACATTGTGGACAACAGAAGGCATTACAGCAATTTCCATAATTATACTGTACTATGCCCCATATCTTTGTTCCCTGCCTTCACCCGACCACACAGAGCAGAGCGGTGAAGTTTGGGAGGCCTTTCCCCCGTAATGTATTGACAAAAGGGCTCGACATTGTAGGTGTACATTGAGCATGTCCACATAGCGCACTCTGATGTGCCCTGTTGGTTGGCAAGCAAGTTGGGCGGGCAACAAATAAAGATGAAGAAGTCTCACTGGGATTCCATCATCATCATCTTCAGCCATGATCAATCCGCTGCTGGATGAGGACTCCCCAAGTCTGTGTTGCCATCTCTCAAGATCCGCGGGTGCAAGAATCCACCCAGCGAAGCGCCCTGCGGCGAGAGCCGATTTCGTCGCTCCATCTCCCGCAGTGGACGCGCCTCTCAAACACATTTACATTTTCGCTCAGAGTCGCCTTGCGACGAAAGACGCACTGGAGTGTGGCCAGATGGATGCCGCACTGCTGGAAGCTCCCCACGAGGCACTGAGCGGCGTTCGCGCAATGTCACCTGAATGCGCGACCGTAGCAGCGGCTCGTTTGTGAATGTTACTTCTCGTATCTTATTTGTTTGTGAGTGTTACTTCTCCTATCTTATTTGTTTGCCCTGGCACGGCTCCGTCTGCTCCCTTCGACGCATCGCCCGCTCAGCTTTGTCGCCGCTGAATTCTGTGTGAGCCTTGCGCTTCCTAAATTAGACATCCTCACACCCCACCGCGGAAGGCCTCTACATATTTCAGAATCTTGATTTAGACCGCAGGAGGATTCGATGAGCTATGAAGCTCTTTTTCACAGGTGTACAGTATGGGTGGGTCAGCAAGTTATATATTTGCCGATCGCCTTCATCAAAATGCATATTCGTGACAACACGATCACGCACCTGATGATTGATAAACTCAAGCTTTAGGCTGCTGATTGAACTTACCAACGAGACGTTTTTCAGGTGTGTGTGTGTGTCCCACACGCACAGAAAGCAGTGATTTAAATTAAAATATTTTTTAGGTGGTGCCTCATAGCAAGAAATTCCTGGGTTCAATGCCAAATCGAGCACCTTTTTGAGTGGAGTTTTATGTTCTCCGCCTGTTCTGCATGGGCTTCCTCGGGGATCTCTGCTTTTATTTCATGAGCTAAAATAATACAATAAGTGACATCTGGTGAAAAGTGATTAGCAAATTATTGGGTTTGGATCACAAACGACAGCAGACGCATTGCCCCCCACTGAGACAACTTTGCAGGACCCTCCTGAAAAGAGCCTTGTCACTCGATTAGGCTTTCCTGGGTAAACTAGATTAACAATACATCGTAAATATCTTGTGTATTTATGGGTGCACCTGTGTGCCCCATGTGACGCAGAGAGCGCAGATTCAAGTTAATCCCCCACGTGCCAAGTCACATGGGGCCGTGTTTAGCAATCAGCGGGCGTGTGCGGCGTGTATCAAGTTGTATCATGTCTGAATAGGACAGATGGACCCTGGTGGACCGACTGCAAGGGCTTGAGTCAGGGCGCTGTGGCGGCGAGATGTTATCTCCCTCGCCTGTATACAGGAGGTCGAGGATTCGATGCAGGCCCTGATGTCTGCTGTATAATTGGAGTTTAAATGTTTATTTCCCGGTAGTTGCGTGGTTTTTTCTCCAGGTCCTCCGGTTTTTCCCCCCTCCACATTTAAAATCAACATGCGTTTAGGGGATTTGACTGATATAAATTTCCACACGATAAACCACTATGTTGCTCAATCATTTGTGATAGCCAGTTCGCTTCTGAAAAAGAGCTATATGGGTCGTACCTGGTAATT